ACCTTTCCTTTATTTGTATATGCTGATATTTGATTTTTATAGATGAGCATTCTTTTGCATGTTTCTTTTTCTTTTTTTTCTTATCACATCTGCCATAGATTCCTACATGTGAAAATCATATCAGAATATGTGAATTCTCTTAAAGCTCGTGATAGATCTTGTCAAATTGCTTTCCTGAAAGGTTCTTTCACTATGTAGCCCACCTGTGTCATATAAAACTGTCTATTATTTAAAATTGTGACACCAGGGCATTTTATAATTTAAAACAAAACAAAAAACTCTTTTGGTGTGATGAGTTAAAAGCAGTCCACATTCTCATGTGTTCCTTTAGTACAAAGGGTAAATTGTTTACAATATCTTTCTATTGAAGTATTGGTATTTTTCTTACTGATTTTTAATGTATATTAATTTAAATATATTTATTAAATTATGATAAATTATATAACATAATATATAAATATATAAATTAAGTAGATATGTAGAGACAGTGAGAGTATAACGTATATTATTCTCTTGTTTTTATAATTCTTTGAGAATACTGTTCCAAATTTTTCATTTGACTTTTCATTTTTTTGGTAGTGGTTTTTGACATATAGAAGCTTTCAATTTTGTGTAGTCAACATGATTTTTTTCCTTTATGATTTCATTTTCATTAGTGTCCTTGTCCATTTGGACTCTTAATTATTTTAATTATTTAATTATAGTTATCTTATGTCTTACCAGTTAAAAAAGTAATTTAATTCTAAATTCTACTTAATTTTTTTCTTTTGGTGTGTAATTTGGTGTGAGTTTCAATTTGATTTTCTTCCCCCCACAGAACTAATTTTCTTCACCCTATTTGTTTCCAAAAGCCCTTTTTATCTAGACATAGGTTATTTCAAAATTCAGAGAACCTCCTTTCTACCTGGCCATAGAAAAGGATAATCTGATGTGGTAGTTTCAGCTAGTTATGCAGCTGCGCTGGCTTTCTAACTCCTATATGGCCACCAGCTACAGAGAACCAGGGAGCAGGAGGGAGGAACCTGAGCTGTCATGCTCTCCCTAGGCTCATGGGGGTTGAAAAAGCTTTGAAGAAGGGGATTTACAGATCTGGCCTAAGCACATTTTAGAATGCCCCTTTCTGCCAGCACTGCAGTTTCTGGGCTGCCTGGTTTATTAGAGGTGCTCCTTGTAGCTGACCATTGCCACTGGCTCTTGCATGTTCTATTGCAGAGCTTTGTAGTTAGAAAGACCCAGCTTCAGCCTGAAAGGACCAAAACAACAACAACAAAGCCAACCTAATGGTGATCTCCATTAGGGGACCTGGTCTTGTGCCTTCATTTCTGGCACTTTAAACAAAGCTAGCCCACCCTCATACGACCTCAATAAGCACATAAAAACTAGCTGTAGGCAACAGTACCTGTCTACAACATTTACCCAGTATTTCTTTTGCCTTTGGAATATTTTTTCTTGATTTCTCAATCTCCAACTTGCTCTGCCTATCAGTTTTGTACATCTTCTTTGACAACTGGTTTGGATTCTCTTGCTACTTCTTGGTGAGGCACCTCCCTTGATTTTAATGCTCCTGTAAGATCAGGTAAAAGGCATCCTGCCAGCCTCAGTCTCAGAGAACTTTCACCAACCTCCATAGTAGTCCCTCTTCTAAATAAAGGTGCACATAGGCTATGGGGTGACCTCTGTGGAAGACAGAGACTGGCAATTCACCTGAATTCAGACAGCTACCTGCCCTTCTACTCACCTTAAGTTACTGGGAAATAGTGGAGAGATGGCAAAGCAGAAGGGACTTGGGACATCTCTGTGCCTGTCGTGGGTCTAGCTCTCACTTTGTCCTAAACAGACACACAAGAAAAACCTAATTGTCTACCAAGACAGATGAATTGAATAAACACCAGTTGGGACAGCCTAAGCCCTTCACATTTCCTTCTGTCCTCATCAGCAATTTGATATGTGGGAACTAGAACATGTGTTTCCATTCACTTCCTGCACAAATAAAACTACAGCTCAACGGCTTCAAACACTTCAAAGGCCAGACGTTAGGAAAGCGTTTTATTAGCTAGCTTCCATGACCTAGGTGTGGTCACCGTGCTGCTCTGCCTGATACCAAGACCTCTGAGTGATGTCATAACACATAACTTGGAGCATGACTTTTTACTGTTTAAAACATCCTCAGGGTCCTTGCTGTGATCCAGGAGGGCCTCCTTGCACTGGTCCCTTGCTACTCCTCTGACCTTGCCTCCGTCACTGCCCACTTGTTCAGTCTGCTTTAGCCACATTCCCTACTCAGTGTTGCTTCTGAACATCCCAGTTAATTTCCCTCTGGCTAGAACATTCTCCCCTCAGGTTTTTATGGCCACATTCTTCATTTCATTCAGGTCACTTCAAATATTGTCTCCTCAGAGATATCTTTGTGATCACCCTATTTAAAACAGCAGCCTTGTTCATTTTAAATTCCTTACTTTATTTTTCTTCATAGCACTTTATACAACATTTTATTCACCCACAAATACACACACACACACACACACACACAGTTGCTTTATTGTCTCTGCACTAGAATGTAAGCTCTGTGAAGGCAGAAACATTGATTTTTTTTCTTTTGTGTATTTTCCCACCTTGATCAGTAGCTGACACAGAATAGATATCCAACAACTGGTAGCTTAAAAATATTCAAATGTGAATACCATAGTTTACACAAGTCTAGAGAAAAACTGTCTCCTAAGACCCCAATTATAATAACTTAACTTCTCCCACTGAGGGATCTTTGATTACCATGATAGGAAAATGGCCTTTAATCCAATTTGCAAAGGATTGTATAAGGAAAAATTCTGGAAAATAGTATTTAATGAGGCTTATTAATAACTGTGAGGATCGTTCACATGTAATAGCTGATTAATCCTCATTGAAGCCTTTTAATGCAGACATTATGTCCATTATCACAGATAAGGACACTGAGGCTCTGAGACTGACTTGCATAATGCCATATATATTGAAGTTTCCCGATTCAGGAACTCAGATCTAATTGACTTTGACAGCTGGGCTTTTATTCTACTAGTTGCTTCTCCTGGAATGTTGTCAGAGATGCTTAACTTACACTATCCATTCAGAAAAAGAGAGCTCAAATGATTTAACCAGTAACCCAGCTCCTGGTAGGTTTTTTGGCACCCACACAGCCCAGCAAGTGACAGCACAAAATAAGTAAAGCTTAATGAACCATGAAACATTTGTGTCCTTTGCCTAGGAACTACAGACCCCATATATAGTTACACTGTGGTAGACAGAGTTGTTTCTGAGATGCTATCTTCCAAAGATGGTGGAGGCGCTGAAGTTTTTGGAAAGAATAGCAAGATACCTGGTTCCCTAAAAGACAATATACAGGGTCTGACAGAAGTAAGGCCTGCTTGAGTGTGGTTGGTAGGGTAATAATATGGGTGTAATAATTTATAGTTTTAATGTGAACATTTCACCTAAAATGTCATACGGTGTGCTTGAGCGTGATATTGTTATGTTACAGAATTACATGCTTATGATTTTGTAATAAAAGATTTTGTAATAAAAAAGGGGGGTTGTTTGTGCCAGGCCCATATACTCATTTGCTAGGCACAGAGCTAAGCACTGGGGACATAGTGATGAATAAATGAGTGGACATTGTCTTTGGGCTTCTGTACCTTACAAACTGAAAAGGATTTTATCAAGCTAAACTTATGATGCTGCATTGTAAAATTGTTATGCTTTCATTTATTCACTCAATCAAGAACTATTTATAATTGACTATGTACTACATGTCATGTTCTGTGTTAAGAGAGAATATAATGGTGAGCAAAACCAGACATAATTCCTGCCTTCATGGAACTTACCGTCTAATGAGGAAAATATTAAGTAATTATATGCATACATGGTGCTATGAGAGCCTACGAACAGGGGAAACTGGCTTCATTAATTAGATTGGGAGATTCTTGCTTGAGGAAGTACCACTTAAGCTTTGCATATGAACGTTAAATGGGAAACAACTAGGCAATGAGAGGAGGGAAGAACATTTCAGGCAACTCAAACAGCATGTGAGAAGATCCTGTTGGAGAAGGAAAGATGATGAGCAGGAAGGGCTTTGAAAGAGGCCTGCTGGAGTGCTGAGAATAAGGAGCACCCTGGTGTCAGGTGGGCCTGAGCAGTAGGCTGGAGCAGACAGACAGGGCAGACAGGTAGGGTGGTGCAACCCAGTTGGCCTCTAGGTTAATGGTCACAGAACTTGGAAGCAGAGAGGCTCACTGCATCAGCAGGCAGGAAGAAGACTAGATGATGGTTTTTCAGAGTGCCATATTTAGTAGTGGTATAGAATGCTGTTTGGAGAGCCCAATGATTTAGATTAAACTTCTTCAGCTGTTACCTATAATTTCTCAGCTACTATGGAAATAAAAATATTTCCCTTTCAGCTTTCTTATGAGACTCAAATGAGATAATATATTAAATTATTTAGCACAGTGCTTGGCTCATGGCAGTTATTCAATACATAATAGCTATTATTTTTCTTCAGCTGTTAACGGAGGTAACCAATCGTGGTTACCTCACACAGTTAAGATCTGTGGAAGCATGAGTCTGGACCTCCTTTGCGCAGTACTATTTTTAATGTTAAGAGCCTACAGTGTTAAGAGCCCGTTCTAAAGTTCCTCGGGAAAGCTGGGCCATTGCCTTTTTTATCTGCCCTGGTGCACCATGTGTATTCTTTTAAAAGCGATCTCTCACTTATCTCATGTTTCTAGGTTTATGGGTATCTTTCCGTTTGGAAATCTCTGTCCCACACCCGGCGGGGAAGCACTGCAGGAGAAGGCACACCCATCAAGGCCACCCTGGGCCCGCCCTGCCGTGGTGCCCACCGAGGATCTGCCCAAAGAGACTGGGTCATCGCGCGGCGGGACGGGCCAATCAGAAGAAGTTTGGCCCTCTGCAGTTTCCGTCCGCTCACTAGGAGGCGCTGCGGCTGCCGCGGCTGCTCACGGGGCAGTCGCGGGCTGGGCGGTTCGGCTGGCGTCTGAGGCTCGTGGCCATGGAGTGGGGTTCGGAGTCGGCTGCCGTGAGGCGACATCGCGTCGGAGGGGAACGCCGGGACGGCCTGGTAGCCGCGCCACAACCAGATAGGGAGGCCCCGGAGCTTGAGCCCCTGGTGGACGCGTGCGGCCGCAGCACGAGGAATCGGAAGCGGATCGCGGCGGGTAGCGGAGGCGCGAGCGGAGCTGCGTGGACCCGACTGTCTGAGGCGCGCGCCGCGCTGGGGCTAGCGCTCTACCTGCTCGCGCTGCGGACGCTCGTGCAGCTCTCGCTGCAGCAGCTCGTCCTGCGTGGGGCCACTGGGCACCGCGGGGAGTTCGACGCGCGCCAAGCCAGGTACTGGCCTATGCCGCCCGGCCCGCGCGTCCCCTTCGTCCCCTGCCAGAGCCTGGGCACCGCACCTGTGTGCGTTCTCCCCTGCGGGACCGCCCAGGCTCGCCGGCACAGCCTGACTCCACGTGGGGGTGGGGTGGTCTTGCGCGCCCCTCTTTTGGAGTCCCATTATTTACAGGAGGCAGGGCTTGCATTGCTCCCTGTTAGGCTGGTGGTGCAGATGGTGGGGGGGGCGGTCAGGGGGCTGTTCCTGCTTTTCCACCCGCTTCCTGCCCCACCTGTAGATAGTTTGGTTGTTCAGTCGTTCCTCATCTTAATGGAGCAACTTCCACGTTTTACTAGTCCTTTTGCTTTCCTAATGAAATAAAGGAGCGCGAAATTTGTGTACCCAGCCAGTTTTGTAAGTTAGGTTCCTGAGGAGGTGTTGGAAGGGGATAATTCAGGGGTCTAGCTTATTGACGGTGACAGCCCTTACACCTGAAAGCTGTGGAGGCTCAGCCTGGAATATTACGCTTCAAAAGTTTACAATTTCAAAAGTTTGAGATTACTGGAGGTTATCTTTGTGCCCCTGGTGTGTGAGGTTTAATTTTTTTTTAATGAAAAAAAAGATACTATAAAGTGTGCTAGAAAAGGAGATTAAAGAAAAGGTATTGTAGCATAAGTATGTCAAAGCTCAAAATTATAACCTAGCAGAATTTTCAATAGCCACTGTGATTTTAAAACTTTTTTTTTTTTTTAAATACAATGTGCTGGAAGCTTATTTTACTAAGGATTGGAACACACATGCCCCACCCTCCTTTTTCCCCACCTGGAATGCAGTGAAAAGACAAAACATTTTTGTTTGTTTTAGGGGTAGAGTCGGTTTTGGCCTGAATTGAAGTAATTAGGCCTGTGGGCACATCAGGAGGCCTGAGTCCAGTTCCTTACTATAAAAAGGTTTTTTTGTTTATTTATTTAACCTATTGACTTAATTGTCTTTGCTCATTTGTTTCTTTTTGGTAACCCAGAATCTGCAGCCCTCCAGAATATGGCCCAATGAAGGTGCATTCCGTGCTGTCCAGTCTTAAGCATTTACACGTTTTGAATAGATTTCTAGTCTTCGTATGAGGATTGAGAGAATTTGGGAGTGGAGTGGGTAGAGAAAACTCTGTGAAGGGATGAACTCATGAGAGACAAAAGTTAAATAAGCTTTACAAGTGGGCTTTCACAGATTACCTGAAATAATAAAAGACAGCCTTAAAAAAATTTTTTTTTAGTGTAGATTTTATTTTTCAATTACGGTCTGCATTCAATATTATTTTGTATTAGTTTCACATGAATAGTGGTTAGACAGTCATGTATTTCACCGAGTGTTCACTCAAAAAGTTCAGCCTCTTTAATGTGAGAAGTCAAAGAACTTGATTTTGGGGGTGAGGGGGATTGTAGAAGAGTTGTTCTGTGGTAAGTGTTAATCAGTTTTTTTTGGTGGCTTTCAGGGATTATCTTGAACATATAACATCCATTGGCCCCAGGACTACAGGAAGCCCAGAAAATGAAATTCTGACAGTGCATTATCTTTTGGAACAGATTAAACTGATTGAAAGTCAAAGTAACAGCTTTCACAAGATTTCAGTAGATGTACAGCGGCCCACAGGCTCCTTTAGTATTGACTTTTTGGGAGGTTTTACAAGCTGCTATGACAATATCACCAACATTGTGGTAAAGCTGGAACCCAGAGATGGAGCCCAGCATGCTGTTCTGGCTAACTGTCATTTCGACTCAGTGGCAAACTCACCAGGTATGTACCAATTTTTAGTCATCTTGCAGTTGACGCAGCCCAGACCACTTGTTAACACCAAGCTGCTTGGGCAATTGTGTGGCACCAGTTTCTTGGACAAACCTTATCTGTGATGGCAGGCGGTATAATTAGAATAGTACCATTTAGTTTAAGAACTAATCCCTCACTTTTCTCTGAAGGTCTTTATTTATTTTTTTTAAACATTAGTGCCAGCAGCCCTGTGACAGGACAGGGAATGTTGCTGGTAGACTGAAGCAGCTTTATCAGTGTTACCAGTATATGTCCCTGAGTCCTGGAGTTAGATGCTGCCTCTTCAGGTGTTTACTCGGCCAGGTGTTGGTACTAGGCTTTGGGGATATGGGATAAAGAAAGCGCTTGCCTTCACAGAACACAAGGTTTGGAGGACATCTTTCCCAGCAGTTTCTGTCAACCTATAAAGTGAGAATTTTGGCCCACTGGGGATGCCATACTTTTAGAATACCTCCTTAATCCATTAATCTTCCTCTGAAAAATCCTTTGTCAGGATAGAATACTTCATGTTTAGGACAGTGCCTGACACAATAAATATTTTGAATGAATGAGAATCTCTTAAATTGAACTTTCATTTAAAAAATAAAATTCATCAGAAAAGTGTTTTCAATAATTACTAAAGAGATTGTAAGTAGGGAAGAATAAAAAATTGTAGCATTTAACAGTGGAATCATAGCATGTTAGAGGCAGACAAGACCTGAGATGGCATCTGGTTCAAGACCCTTATTGGACACAGAAATACACTTAGCTGATCACCACTGATCAGAGACAGAAGTGGGACCACATGCTGGGTTTCCCAGCCAGACACATTTGAAAGGAAGGAGAGTTCATGCTCTCTTTGCCAATCTACTTACTGTAACCTCTTTTTTTCTGTCAGTTTCTGATCTGTAAAATGGAGATAATAGTACTTTCCCATTGGCATTGCTTAGGGAATAGTGCCTGGCATGAAAAATGCTTTTTCTTTTTCTTTTTTTCTTTGCTATTGTTTTTTTCCTTTTTATTGAATTTATTGGGGTGATACCAGTTAACAGAATTATACAGGTTTCAGGGGCACAATTCTACAAGACGTCATCTGTACACTGCATTGTGTACACTGTATTGTGTGTTCTCCACCCTGAGTCAAGTCTCCTTCCATCACCATTTATCCCCTTATATCTTCTTCCACCTTCCCTCACCCCCTTCCCCTCCAGAGTCACCGCACTGTTGTCCCTGTCTGTGATTTTTTCCCTTTATTTTTTTTCTTGTTCATTCCCGCCACCCCCTACCACCCAGCACCCAAATCTACCACCCTCAACAGCTGTCAGCCTGCTCTCTATCTGTAAATCTGTCTCTGTTTTGCTTGTTGGTTCATTTTGTTCATTAGTTTCACATATAAGTGAACTCCTATGGTACTCGTCCTTCTCTGACTGGCTTATTTCACTTAGCATAAAGCTCTCCAGGTCCATCCAGTAGTAACATTTCCTCCTTTTTCTTTTTTTTTTTTTTTTTTGTGGCTGAGTAATAGTCTGTTGTGCAACTATACCACAGCTCTTTTATCACATCTGCTGATGGACACTGGGCTACTTCCAAATTTTGGCTATTGTGAATAAGGCCGCAGTGAACATAGGAGTGCTTGTATTCTTATGACTTAGTGTTTCACTTTTCTTCGCATAAATTCCAAGAAGTGGAATTACTGGGTCAAAAGGCAGATCCATTTTTAATTTTTTCAGGTAACTCCATACTGCTTTCCACAGTGGTTACACCAATTTGCATTCCCATCAACCGTGCACGAGGGTTCCCCCCCTTTTATTTTATCCTTACCCTAGGATGTATTTATGGGAGAGAGAAGGGAAAGGAGCAAGAGGGAGAGAAATATGGATGTGAGAGAGAAACATTGAACAGTTTCCTCTTGTACGTATGTGCCCCAAGAAGGGACCAGGTGACTGAACCCACAACCTAAGGCATGTGCCTTGAGTGGGAATCGAACCCATGACCTTTCAGTTTATGGGATGATGCTCCAACCAGCTGAGCCATACTGGCAAGAGCAGGTTCCCTTTTTTAATTGTTACTAATATTTCTGAATTGCTTGAACTTATAACAGGCCCAATATGATAATCTAGAGTTATATAAAATATAAAATTTTATTTGCTTGATAAAATGATTCATCCTAGGATGTCTTTAATGAGAAAACTTGCCAATTGCATTTAGACTGTAACATGCTTTTTAAATTCTTTATTTGTATTACTATGTTTTAGCTTCTATCCTGAAGATATGTTTATTGATTTATAGAGAGGGTGTGGAGAGAGAAAAGGTGGGGCGGAGGGGAGGAGGGGAGGAAGGAAGAAAGAGGGAAAAACATTGATGTGAGAGGGATGTCAATCAGTTGCCTCCCGTGCACGCGTTGACTGGGGATCGAACTCAGAACCTAGGTATGTGCCCTGACTGGGAATGGAACCTGCCACCTTTTGGTGTACAGGAACGATGCTCCAACCAACTGAGCCACCTGGCCAAGACGAATATAACATGCTTTTTAAAAAATCATATACAACCCTGGCTGGTGTGACTGTTGATTGGAGTGTTGTCCCGTAAACTGAAGGTTCGATTCCTGGTTAGGGCACATGCCTAGGTTGCAGATTCCATCCCTGGTTGGAGCACATAGGGGAGGCAACCAATCAATATTTCTCTCTCTCTCCCCCACTTCCTCTTTAGAATCAATCAATAAACACATATTAAAAAACTAAAAAATAAAAAAATCATACACATATTTCCAAGAAGATTACATAGTAAAAGCAACTAGATTTGAAAAAAACTCCTGAGGTTTCAACAGTGAATTGAGCACATGTAGTATAGAATGATCTGGTGAAAAAGGTGAGTTATTGACTGTCAATAAGAGCAGTTAGCAGGACCAATGTGAATTATTTAGAGTAGGAGAGATTTGCATGCATTTGTAGCATGAGAAGGTGCTCTCTTCCATATTAGCACAATGTCTCAATGACATGTTTATTATGAAATTTTCTTGTTCCTATTAAATTTCTTAAAAGATATTTAAAAAGTCAGTATAAGCTAATTTGTTCGTATAAAATCAAAAATATCTTTGTGTGCACGAGGGAAACCAATGGTCTTTTATGCCTATTTCAAAGCAGTAATAAAGTAAGTGTCACCCTGTGTTCACTATTATGATGCTTAAATTGTAGGAAGGGACAGATTGACACCATGGTTATTTAAGACCATTATATAAGAAAGCTGTATATACAAGTATCATAAACATAGTTCCACTTGTTATAAATCATATATATGGGGCCCAGTAATGAAAGGATGGCATTTCTGTGGGTCATTGGAACTCAATTTAAACTAAAATTTTATAAGATTACCTATACCAATAGTCCCAAGGACACGTCTGCCAATACTAAATTATTAAAAATTGTCAAAAAAACCCCCAAAACACCCCACACATAAAATAGACTATCACCTAAATCCTTTCAATGGATGAACTAATTGAAACATGGGCTTTTTTAAAAAGTTCTCAGCAACACATCTGGACCTTCTGGACTAATGCCAATTAGAAGTAATATTATCCACAGAAAGGACTTAAATGTCTCCTTGGGTTTGCCTTATGGTTCCAGGTTGTTGATAGAAGCCATGTCAGGTTGTTTTAGGAGTGACTTTAATTTCAGGGTTAATTCTAAATGGAAAGAGATGTTGGTTAACCACCCAACCCTTATATATACTATTCTCTAACTTTTCCTTCACTTTCTTAAAGATATTTGACCCTCTCTAGTTCTGTTCTCAGACAACAGAACTGTTAAAATAAAAGAAGATAAATGGCTGGTTTAACTTTTTATTCAACTCTATATAGATATGTCTCTTTCAATTTCCTTCTCTCTTTGAATAAAGAAATATTTTATGGTTTGATTAAAAATTTTTTTTTCTTTCTGATTTTTTATTTTAAAGTAATTCACAGTCTCAAAGTTAAAAACTTAATTTCCTTTGGTTCCTGGAATGTGATACTTTTTACTGATAGCTACATATACTTTTGGCTTAATAGTTCTTAGACAGTTATTACTTAGTTTCACTTTCATTAAAATACAATCCAGTAATCACTGCCAAGGCAAGTAATAGGTAATAAGTAGTTTCTCCTTGAGTAGAAATGGAGTCTGGAATTTAACAACACCAAAACAAGCATTTTCACTAGCTACAGAGCCTTCCTTAAGTTTGCAAAGAGAAGGAAAAACTAACATTGAATGCAGGCTACATTACTTTGTAATCCTTACAACACACCTGTGAGGTAGAGATCATGAGCCTGCTCTATAGACCAGGAAGTTGTAGGGTAAACAACAGCTAGAATTTACTTCCAAGTCTTGCTTTAAAACACATGCTAAACTCTGTAGTGCCATGCCTCCCTGTGTATAAATTGGAAAAGGCTATTGTCTGGGTTATTACTAGGCCTGTTTTCTTTGATTACTCCTTAAACTTATGGAAAATTTTAAATGTGTACAAAAACAGAGTACTGTTTAATGAACTTGAGTTTACCTATCACCCAGCTTTGACCGATTTTGTTTCTTTACCCCCCAGCCCTGCAACCCTTAATTATTTTGAAGCAGAACTCAGCTGTGTCAGTTTCTCTGTAGGTCTGTTTATGTCACTGAAAGATAACGACTTTTTTTTTTTTACATGCTCATAATACTGTTAATTACCTCACTTTAAAAATAATTTAATATCATTAAATGTCTAATTAGTTCCTTTAGCTACCTCTAATAGTGCTTTAAAAAATCAAGGAACTAAAGTCATCTTTATAATCACTTTTAATTAATATATAAAGTTTCTTAATCAAGAAGAAGTGAGCTGATTTGAAGAGGTCCTCTCTTTATCAGTGCCGGATCAGAGATACTACTACTTAGATCAATAGTCTTCTTTCATGTCTTAATAGTTTTGGTGTTTTCTTTGTACTTCTTCATCACATCTCCTTGTAGAAACCTTAAAAAATGTCACACCGTCCAAACTGACCCCACTGTAAATGCAGAGTGATTGGAAGACCTTATGATTTTGGCAGGAAAACAAGCAGGAACGGGGTGGGTGGCAGGGGAAGATGACCTAGGAAGCTGTGAACACCAGAAGTGAAAATATAGAGGATGGAGATAAGGATAAAGAAGGGAACAAATTGCTTTGGATTTATGAGAATGCCAGTTTTTAGTATTAATTTCGGTCCCATCTGGTTGATGATTCAATGAATAATAATTAAGTGACTACTCCGGGCTAGGCATGGTTCTGGACATTGAGAGTAAGTCAGTAAGCAAACCAAAGTTCTCCATTCTCATGGAGTTCACTGCTGGTGGGTATAATAGTCACCGGATGTTGACAGACAGAGCTATGCTTTTGGTCTTGTATAATAGCTCTGTGATGCTTCCTTGATGAGAAAACCCCATTCCTAGCCCTGATGACTCATACTGTAAAGATTTTAAAATTTAAGGAGCAAATCTGTTTTTCTGATTTAAAGGTGCCAGTGATGATGCAGTTAGCTGTTCAGTGATGCTGGAAGTCCTTCGCGTTTTGTCAACATCTTCAGAAGCCTTACATCATGCTGTTATATTTCTCTTTAATGGTGCTGAAGAAAATGTTTTGCAGGTGAGATTCTGCTGTTTTAAATACTAGGCTTGAATGATAATAATAACAACTTAAGCATTTTGATTATTCCTTTAAGTAGTATAAAATCATATACAAAAATATATTGTACCTAGTACTACTTTAAAAATAGTACAGCTACTTATATACATGTTCGACATTTGAAAACTCAACTTAGAACAGGTCATCTTGTCAGCGTTTGATTCATAAAAGGGCTCTGTGATGGCATAATTGTTCAGCTCAGGTTTTGTCTGACTCAGGAGTTTCAGAGATGTTTTGAGGTAGGCACACAGAATGAGTACCCAGCCATGTGGATCGTCCCTTCCTATTATTTTGACCTTTCTTTTGCGCAGTCTCACACTTACCAAGGATATTGTTTGGCATCACTCATGGAAATGAGGCTGCCGTCTGTGATGGGAACTTTCCACTCAGCAAACTGCGCGCAGCTATTATGCATAGAAAGAGAAAAACACATGTCTTTAGATACTGCCTTTGAAAAAAAGATTTATTTTCCTTTTCTTCCCCTTGTTGACATAGATGTTCTGTCTTAAAATAAGTAAAATAGAGACTATGATAATCTCACATTGTTTAACATATATTTGTTTTCTTTCTGTCTCATTCAGGCCAGTCATGGTTTCATTACTCAGCACCCCTGGGCCAGTTTGATCCGTGCATTTATTAACTTGGAGGCAGCAGGTGTGGGAGGGAAAGAACTTGTATTCCAAACAGGTATGTGAGGCTGTACAGGGTGGGGCAAAGGTAGGTTTATAATTGTGAGTACACAAAACACAGAGTTTACTCTTGTATTTATTGTCTTGATGTATTTTTGAACAACTGTAAATCTACTTTTGTACCACCCAGTATTTTTATATTCGAATGCAGTTGCATTTTATACTTTAATGTAATTCTTGTTTATAAAAATGGAAAGTTTTTGAAAATTCCATATTTTCCTGTGTATAATGCACACCCATGTTTTTGTGCACATTATACATAGGATTATCATACCTATTATTATACCCATGCCATGTAATCATTATATCCATGTATAATGCACATCCTTATTTGTTTTTCACAAATTTGGGCAAAATGCGCATTATACATGGGAAATTAAAGGTAAATAATCTCTCAATGAAATAAATGTTCTTTTTATTTTATTATTTATATTTTTATTTTTTTGTTTCAGAGTTATAATGCATGGTTTGAAAGAGAGGGGAAAAAACAAACAAAAAAGCCAGAGTAAGCTGGTGAAAGGTCTGAGGGAATCTAGGAAAAGAAAATATAGAGAAAAATAAGGGGGTACAAGTTTGGGTGTAATCCAGTGGCCCAAATCCCAGCTTCCCACCCACCCTCCCCTTGGAGTGAAGAATGAGATCAGTTTTGTACAAGAGTTTTTTATAAAATCAAATCCCAATAAAGCTGACTTGGCTTCTCTCTGAGCCTCCCGGATTAACAAATATCTGTCTCTCACTCTGTGCCAGCCTCTCTCTCCACCGCAGACACTGTTTAGGCTCTCCTAGTCCTCCACTTAGGTCCCAGTGTGGGTTTCCAGGGAGTGTGAACATGATGTTGGAGAGAGGCTGCTTCACAGTCCTGCCCATGAGTCCATCCAGACTCCATATGGAGTGCAGAGCTCCCAGGCAGAGGGGAGAGAGGAGCAGACCTTGCCCAGGCAGTCCTCACCATTGGACAGGGGGCATCAGACAGGCATTCCAATCGCTCACCCTCCCTTCCCCCCGACCACAACTCGGTAGAGGGGGAGCAGCCGAGCCTATGTTGGTGAAGGTTTCAATTACACACTGAGTGAACATCAGCAGTGAACCTGAGGGCATCCAGCATTGACAGAAGGCTAAGAAGGGCAGTGTCACTGGGGTCACTGAACCAGGACTTCATGGGGATGGTATTGTCTGGATGGCTCCTGTAAGCCCCTGGGGAGTTACCCAGGATCACGGTGCTAGAAAGGTCACTGTGGACCACAGAGAGTTCCTTGATGTTGCTGCCCAATTCCAGAGTGCAGTGCTATCTGTAGTATTTCCTTTTCTGCTCTTGTCCAGTTTATCTGCCACAGCAGAGCCATAACTCTCCATGCTTGCTGTGAACACTACCAGCTCATACCACGGGCTCACCACGTCTAAGAAATCCACATGGGGCCTCTTATGTACAAAAAACTGGACAGGATGTTTGTCTATTACCACCTTGAGGATAAAGACAGGAGGTATTCCAGGTTGTACTGTGGGCCTCAGAACCCCATCATGATGGGAGTGATTAAATGTCTCATCCAGATCCAGCATTAGGATCTTTCTCTTCACCTGGCTTGGCCGATTCCAGGACATAGGAGATAAGGGAAGTTTATCATATTGAACAGTTTGGTAATGAATCACTGTGTGGATCTGCCTCCTCAAAAGGTTAATGAAGACTCTCCACAGCTTGGTGGCAAAGGCCACAAATGTGCGCAACCACAGCGGACACTGCATCCACTGCATCCACTGCATCCACATCTTCCCTATGACCCCACCACCCTGCGCAGGCCCCAGGGAGGGGGTCTCCCACCCTCGGCCCAGTTCCAACAGCCACCTGACTCCCCTCGCTCCCCTGACCGGCCGTCCATCGGGAGGGGGAACAGACCTGAATGGCAGGAGAGGCTACAGAGAGGGGCATGGAGCAGGCAGCTCAGAAAGCCACCCTCGACGAGGGGAAAGTCCAGCAGAACCAGGAGCTGGGTGACAGGTGTGAGGTGCCACATGGGTCGGGAGTGGCACTGACAGCTTCGTGGAGATTGCTGGCAGGCCTAGGTATAGATCAGGCTAGGACGGGGTCCTCTGAGACCAGAAGGGAGAGGGATGGAGAGTTGGGGTATGGGTAGTAGGCTGGGGAGAAGGGGAGGGGAAGGAGTGAATGTTCTTTTTAAAGCATGAGATAGTTTTGTCTTTGTTAAAAATTTTAAGCAAATATTAATACTAATATTTTTATAGTGCTTATTATATGCTAAATGTTCAACGCATTATGTATATATGTCACTTAATTCTCAAAACAGCATGAGGGATAAGTACTGTCATTATCCTCATTTTGCAGATGAGAAGAGAAAAGTGAGGGGACAGAGACTATAACTTGCCTAAAGTTTCACAGTTGGTAAAGGACACAGCAGGATTTAAAAACCTAGTCCAGGTTCTGAGCCTTTGTTCTTAACAACTCACCAGATTGTCATATAGGTGATGAACTTTGTTTTATCCATTATGTATGATTATGATATAAATTATATTAAGTGACAATAATTTCATGAATTAAAAAGGAAATTTACCTGTAGTTAAAGATCTTGAAATTTACCATTGAATTAATTTGAATGTCATAAAAATCTAGCAATATTTAATCAGCCAGAGAAATATTTTTAGTTTTATGATTATATGTTTCTAAGGATAACAAGATTGTTACAAGGATAACTTATCGATTATTAAGTATCGGTTATCATCATTTTAGCAGAATTCAAAGCTCAGTTTTGTTCAGTCAGGGCATACTAAATTATGACATTGGAAGTTCCATGCTGTTCCCAACTCTGTTAGTAATTTGAGCAATGCATTTTAGCTAGAGGTGTGGCATTTACCAGAAGTTTTATAATGAGGAGGGCGTTGAGACATGAGATGGGCTGGAAGTTAGATAATATAGGGACTTGAATTTTAACACTCTTTGCAGACATAGTATTATTTATGTTAAGATATGCTAAATATGTCTTTCTAACCTAAACAATACCATATTGTAATATTCTCCATACGATTTATTTTAAACTTCTATCCTTGAACCTATATGTATATTTTGCTTCAGCTAAACCTTTGAGAATCTCAGGGTTGTGAGGTCAGAAGGAAGGTTCTTTCTTGTCAAATCTCAGACCTTTCTGCTTACTCTTACTATTCATCCAACCAATGAGAAGAAGCTGGTATCTAACATATGTGAATAAGTCGATGCTACACTGTTATCCATTCTGTCAAATTACATCAAAGAGGAACACTCGATGTACTGGGTTGGCCGAAAAATCTATTTAGTTTTTTCCATGAAATAAAAGACACCAATAACTTTATTGATGTGGATATTTTGAGTATGTTAGCTGTTTCCTGTGTGGTATAATGTTGATTATTCTCAAATATTGTTTCAATTTGATCACAGTCAACTTCAGCTGGTCTGTCTGACCATGGAGTATCATCCAGTGAGAAATCTCCAGCATGAAAACTTTGCAACCACTTTTGATCCATTCTATCAGTCATAGTACCTTCTCCACACACCGCACAAATCTTTTTGTTGCATTTCAGTTGCATTTTTACCTTTCTTGAAATAATTTAGCATAATATGCCAAAAATGTTGCATATTTTCTTCCATCTTCAATATTAAAATGGCTACACAAAAATTCACCAATTTTGATTTTTTTTTTTTTTAAATGCATGGTGATATGACAGCTGTCACAACAGAATCTAACAAAATTGTTTTGAATGAAGTAAAAGACAACTAAACCCTACTAGAGTCACCTTACAAAAAAAACTAAATGAACTTTTTGGCCAACCCAGTAACAGCCACCAGATCAGAAAGCAAAAGAAAATTCTGTAAGCAAAGAGGCACTGTATCTTTCCTCTGATGAAAATGTCAGGGCTCCACATGGGCAGGAATGTGTTTTTGTGTATTTTCCCTCTTGGAAGTGTATTATCTGTTAAGTGCTTTCATATCTATGCTTTCAATTTTATCATCACAGCTCCTTCCCTCTTGTACTCCTACGAGCCAAAAGAAAAACTAGTCTTAGGGTTTAGTCTGTACCTTTCGTGAAGTTTTTCAGTGTATATATATTAATACATACATATTTTATGTGTATATATAAATATATTTTGCATAAATGTAGTCCAGAGAGATTCAGACATACTTACCTAGCGTGAGTGAGGTCTAGACCCAAGTCAGTTCCTTTGTTTACATTTATTGAGTATTCACTTTTGCTGGGTCTGACTAGCTTAAGTATGTGCTCTTTTTACTAGCTGTAGATAGTTTTATGTAAAAATTCTACAGTTGTGTACACTTTATATATAATTGCGTTATCTGGAAGGACATAAACTGTATAGTGACAGTCAGTGCTGGATGGTGAGTGTTGGCTGAGTGGTGGGTGTGACTGGAGTAGAGGATGGGGCAATATATAAAGAATCAGTTTGAACTCTCCAATGCTTCATGAACTTAGAACTGTCGTAACTGCTTTACTTAGACTCTTCACAGTTTTCTGTATGGTTTAAATTTTTGCATTGCAATATGATTACTTTAATGCATTAACAGCCGTGTTACTAGTTAGCAATTTATATACAGCTTAATGTCTTATTCATTTTAAAATAAAATCCCCACATTTCAGAATTAATTTTTTCTGGAGGGGCATCCTACAAAAGTCTTAGAGAGATTGTTTCTCCCTTTGTCTGAGTTTTTATACAATGTTTTCCCCATAGGTTCTGAAATCTTATTCTTGTGGCTTAACTATACACCCAAAACTTTCGGGGTGCTTTCTGACATTCCAGCACCTCTCCCAATATCTCTCTCACTTAAAGATGCCACTGCCTATAGAAAAGTAGCTTTTCGGTGAGGATGGCTTTCAGAAAGTTATTGTCGCTTCCATGTTTGACTGAAAGGATGAAGGCCTCCTGGATCTGGAGTTATGTCTGGGAGTGTGCTGGGTTGCTCTGGCCTCGGCTTTCCTGAAAGGCCCTTTGTCCCTGTGCAGC